ATTATAAACATTTACTCATTTACTATGCTTTAGCTAACTTCTGTGTGCCAGAGAAAGCCAAAAAGTACAAGTCATAGTCCCTGCTCCAAATGAACTCTGAACCTAAAGAGCAGTGGCAAGCATATTTGTAACTGAAATAAACGGTCAGAGATGCTACAGCAATAATGTACACATAGTAACAAAGATGAGGGTATGGCAAAGATTAACAGAGGTGGTTGTAACTCCACAAGTAGAGTTTGATTTAGGCCTTGAAGAAAAACTAGGGCTTAGTGGGACACAGAAGTGTGAAAGGACATTTGAGCAAGAAAATACAGTGAACTAAAGGAACAGTTTATCTTAAGATTCTTGTAAAATATATTTTTAATGCCTAGCCCAGCTCTTCTCATATATTAGACAAAAAGTTTATCTAATGACAGCAAAGGCATGAAGACAAATGAATAGATACATAATTTATTTGTAGTTAAGACCTTAGCCAATAACATAATCCCCTTTTATAACATTGCTCCTAATGGAAATTATGTTTGTTTTACAATCACTTACTTTATGACATAGCTTCCAGGAAAAGGAGACATAAAAAAGAGTTACTGCTGCAAATGACCAATAGAGAAGGGTAGTTTTAATTAATTGCTAGGCTTGCTTTACTTTTCTTTTCAAGACGTGAACAAGTTCTTTAAATGCTATAAATAAACTCATATATAACATCTATTAAGACTTTTACCATTTTCAAATTATAAATATCCAAATATGAATACCAATCACAAATTCTGACCCTAGAAAGAATTAAAGGAAGAAAGATTCTGAGACTCATAGTAGCCGAGTAACACAAAGCTTGGCACATAATAAGAGCTTAGTATTTCACTAATTTGTGCACAGGCTTTAGAGCAGGGCAACCTGGCTTTATAACCTCTGCAAAGATAAAGAAAGGCTACCTTTAATCTATTATATATTTCTCTTTTTTGGTGGGTCATCTATTATATATTTCTACCTTTTTTTTTTTTTTTTTTTTTTTGAGACAGAGTTTCACTCTTGTTGCCCAGGCTAGAGAGCAATGGTGCCATCTCGGCTCACCACAAGCTCCACTTCCCGGGTTCAAGAGATTCTCCTGCCTCAGCCTCCTGAGTAGCTGGGATTATAGACACATGCCACCATGCCCGGCTAATTTTGTATTTTTAGTAGAGACGGGGTTTCTCCATGTTGGTCAGGCTGGTCTCGAATTCCCAACCTCAGGTGATTCACCTGCCTCGGCCTCCCAAAGTGCTAGGATTACAACCGTGAGCCACCGCGCCTGGCCCATATATTTCTATCTTTCGACACTGTACAAGTGATATGAGACAGTGTTTACAAAGGACTGGCAAGGAGTGGGCAGCAATAAGTGTAGTAAATATTAATAAGATTCTAGTAATAGGAGTGGATGCTCAGGAAAGCAAGGCATTTTACTAACAAAGAATAGACCAAAATCCTTATTTTGTCTCTTTGAAATGAGGTGATTAGATAATTAAATGTTTTAGTAGTTAGGGTGTTTATTTTGATAATAGCACCAATAATGACTAGATCTTGTAGTCCAAATTAAAACACAGCATTTTGGTGAATTTGATGGAGCATAAGGCACTGAAGCTGTCCACCTGTCACCCAACAATGTTACTTATTTGACATTGATATTATTTCCTTAATAATCAGCTCCATGATAACAAAAATATTTGAAGGCTAGAAAGGAGTATTTATGTCTGCACAATTGGTGGACCCCTAGCAGCCATGTTCACCGTACAGTTGCTTTGCAATGAAGTACACAGAGCAGAGAATGCAGGTTTTCTTTGATTGGGATTTTAAAAATTATTTAGGATTATGTGTACATTTGTTACCACATACTCACCACCTGGCTATCAAGGATCTGAACCTGTTTTCTATAAAATATATCATTTAAGTATGAAAACTCTAAGAGCTCACCTGCTTTACTATCTCTGTTTTTCAGCTCAATGCATAATATTACATTTCGAACCCTTCACATATTAAATTAAAATGAAGCTTATAAAATAAATGTCACATTTTTAAAATGTTACTCTTTAATAGAAATAGTTTGATACTTAGTTTCAATATCATGTTAAAAGACCTAAAGATTATCATATATTATCAGATATACTGAGTCATAAATAAATCATACTTCTAAAGGATGGCTATTTTGAATTATGTTTTCAGATTGTTATGGTCTGAATGTTTGTGTCCCATCCCAAAAATGTATTTGTTGAATCCTATCCCCCACGGTGATGGTGTTCGGATGTGGGGTGTTTGGGAGGGGAGGAGGTCCTGAGGGTGGAGCCTCATGAATGGGTTTAGTGCCCTTATCAAAGTGGTCACAGAGAGCTCCCTTGCCCCTTCCACTATGTGAGGACAGGGCAAAAAGGTGTCATCTATGAACTAGGAAATAGGGACTCAACACACACCATCTGCTAGTGACTTATCTTGGAACATTCATTTTCTAGAACTGTGAGAAACACATTTCTATTGTTTATAAGCCACCCAGTTTTGGGTATTTTGTTATAGCAGTCTGAACAGACTAAAACACAAATGTTATCAAAGAAAAGTCTTATTTTGTTTTATATGAATATCTAAACATATGTATAACAGAAATATGTAATAATGTAATATATATATAATATAGTATATAGATAAAATTCCTATTTTTTGAAAATATATCATCACATTTAGAAAGAATTTACCCACTGTTCCTTTAAGCAGTCAGTTTTTATAGCATATTTCTAATGGAAAACAGCCATGTGAAATGTAAAAAGCACTTATATTAGTAAGAATGGTTTGGTTTGCAAGCTTTACAAACTCAATGCTAACGAAACAAATATAAAAGCATAGGTGTAGTGGGGAAAGCGAGTCAGGAATATAAAATGTATTGTTTATACATGAAACCTTTGAAAGCTTATCTGCTGTATCTTATACTTATCTAGAATACCAGTTACAAGCACTGTAATTAAGGAATTCTAATACAATAACAGAAATACTCAGGAAATCCTTACCATCTCTATTTTTCAGTTCAATGTATAATATTACATTTGCATCCACAGGTTCAAGAGTTGCAACCATACCTAGGTGCCTGTCTGTCTCTGTCTGTCTGTCTCTCTCTCTCTCTCTCTCTCTCTCTCTGTGTGTCTCTCTCTACCTCATTCTCAGCTCTGGATCCAGCTAAGCTGCCTCTGTCGTCAGGCTGGCTCCCTCCACATAGTGGCATTAACACTGACCTTTTTCATCTATTCCCTCACTGTGTTCCTAGAGATGGTGAGCTATGGGAAAGACGTAGCCCCTCTTTCCATGGTTTCGGATGGGGAGTTCTACTTCAAGATTGCAAAAGTTCCTTTCTCTGAACTCCACGGTGGTCTCAAGACAAGATATTGCTTAAATTAAGCAGAGAGGGCATGTTATCTTGAGTTATTACTGTGAAGCCCCCATGGAAAGGGCAGTGCTCCAGCAGTGTGGTCACACTCCCCTGAAATTAAAGTGCACGTATCTAAGCTGCACAGTTCATTGGGATCAGTTTGCAAGATATGGGGAGGAAGTGACAAAGAAGAGCAGTTATCAAGCAGGAGGCAGAATAAACTAAGCATATTGAATACACATGACGAGAGATTTGTTGTTTTTTTTTTTAAAAAAAAACCAAATCACTTGTAACGTTGATCGACAAGAGGTCTTAAGGTGTTAAGATGCCGGCCAGCACGGTGGCTCATGCCTGTAATTCCAGCACTTTGGGAGACCGAGGCGGGCAGATCACCTGAGGTCGGGAGTTCGAGACCAGCCTGACCAACATGTCTCTACTAAAAATACAAAGTTAGCAGGGCGTGGTGGCACATGCCTGTAATCCCAGCTACTCAGGAAAGTGAGGCAGGAGAATCGCTTAAACCCGGAAGGCAAAGGTTGCGGTGAGCCAAGATGGTGCCATTGCACTCTAGCCTGGGCAGCAAGAGCAAAACTCTGTCTCAAAAAAAAAAAAACAAAACAGGAAAAAAAAAAAGCCAAGACTGGAAAATGAAATAACACGACAAGGAGAGTAGACTGAAAGAACTGATTAGACTCAAAGATTCTGAGATATGGTCCTTTCCCTGGAGCAGAGCTGTGGACAAGCATCCCTTATCCATGTCCATTTCTCCTCCCGTATGGGATACAGAATAAAACCTCCTGGGAGGGAGCACTGGAGAGGAAAGGTGGGGCATTTTGTTTCTGTGCTGGGTGCTACTGCAGGCACCTCCCGGAGCTAAAGGTTTCCTACTCCGTAGCTGGTGTGCACAACCAGAGCATCTGTGTATGGCTTTGCAATACCACATCATCACACTTCTGTAATTACACATCAGATGTCTCCCTACCCACTGGACTCTGCATCCCTGATAAGGGCTGAATTCTTTCAACTATGTATGACCTGTATCAATGTAACACTTGCTATACAACAGATGCTTAATAATTATATGATAAATGGCTAAATAAACAAACCTGTTTGAAACTAAATTACTAAGGAAAACAGATGAGCAAAAATAAGCAAATTAATTACAGAAAAAAAGTCTTAAAGGGCAATTAAATTACTATATATTCAGATCACAATGGTAATTTACATAAATCCAACATCCAAAACAAATATTTATTGATCATATACTATATGCCAAGCGCTAGGCTTGGTGAGGAGATGACAAAGACAAATGTGAATGAATATGATATTCTTCCTTACATTAGAAAGCTGAACTTTTTTCGTCTTTTGTTTTTTCTTTAGAGATGAGGTCTCACTACACTGCCCTGGCTGAAGATGAATTCCTAGGTTCAAGCAATCCTCCCACCTCAGCTTCCTGAGTGGCTGAGACTACAGGCACATGCCACCTCACCCAGCTGGGAGCTCAACTTTTAACTAGTTACATGGAGATACAATACGAGACAGAAGGGAGTAAGGAAGAAATACTAGTTTAAAATTTTAAGAGTTAAATTATGGAGCATTTTGCTGCTCCAAAGAGACTTACCCTTGGTGAGTTCTCACTCTGCCAGGCAGGTGTAGAAATAGTGGATGCCCTTATCTTTCCTTTAAGTGAAAGATCTCAAAGTTGTGGTGTTCATCCAGGCTGCCCGGTGATAAAGTTTTCGTCTGTCTCCTGAATCGACCTGCCGACAGTGTCCAAATGCAGGAAATACTTGCTCTGTAAACAGCATCCCAGATTCTGGTTCTGTGAATCCAGTCTTTCCTTAAACTTCTGATGCCAACACATCACTTTAAACCAGACCACCTGTCTTAATCCATTCAGGCTGCTATAATAAAGTAGCATTGACTGAGTGTTTATAAAAGAAATTTATTTCCCACAGTTCTGGAAGATGGAAGTCTGAGATCAAGGTGCCAAGATGGTCAGGTTCTGAGGAGGGCCCTTTTCCAGTTTGCAGACTACCATCTTCTCCTTGTACTTTTATCCTTACATGGTGGAAAGAGACCTCTCTGGGGTCCCTTTTCTCTAAGAGTACTAATCCCATTCATGAGGGCTACACCCTCATGACTTAACTCCCAAAGGCCCCACCTCCTAATACTATCACCTTGGGGGTTAGTATTTCAATATGTGAATTTTGGAGGTATACATTCAAACCATACCACAACCAAAGGAGTTAGACCACTGCTTCAGGATTCTGTTAAAATGCAGATGCCGATTCAGGAGATCAGGGATGGGACCTGGGATCCTTCCTTTCTCATGAACTTCCTGGAAGATGCAGTTCTGGGGAGGATCACACTCGACCTTAAAGAGTTAGAGGGTTGTGGAAGGTTTAAGGACTGGAGTGTGCCTGTATTTTCCTAATGTACGTTGGGCCTTCCCTTCACTAAATTCCAGTGGAGGTAAAGAATTCTGAGTAATGCAGTCATTCTATGATCAGGCAATAAGGTGTTTTCAGGATCAATTTTCTCTAAAGAATAGTTACGTGAACTAAAAACATCTTCCCTAATCGCCAAATCAAGGACTCACAGGTGTTGCTGGCCAGAGACGACACACCAAAAGAGAAAGAAAAAGCTCAAACCAGAGGCAACTTGGAGAGCTCCAACCCTCCTCCCTGTTTTGCCAAAGGTAGAAGAATTCTCGCATCTCCCAGATGCTCCTTTGTAGCCTCAGAGAAAATAAATCTCTGCCCTTAAACCAGGGCACCTGGAGAGCCTTCACTCACAAGTCAGAGATTCCTCCAGGCTTGCTTATTAAGATTAGATAGGGAAAACACTGTTTGGGGAGAGAAAGAATTATCAGAGTCCTTTAACTCTTGGTGGGCATGGCATGCAATCTTGGCGCTCAGTGAGGCTGCTTAAGTCTGAGCCAGTGGTGCCAGGGGACAAAACGGCCACCTGCTCACGGCCCGCTATGTTGGAAGAGCTTTCCGGTTTAGCTCTCTCATTTTATCATCTCAATCTGCACATAGGTCACGCGGGAAACTCAGGTTATGCTACCTGCTCAAGGTCACACAGCCTAAGGTCAACTGAGGATATGAAAGTTCCCCAGAGCCATAGTCCAGCCTTTCCTTTAGATAGCACTTCTTAAAAAAACCAAAGGCACGCCTTGAAAAAATGCGGGATGTTCAGCCGCCAAATAGCCCCTGGAGTCGGCCCTAGGGGCAGCTGGACCGCCCAAGCGCGCGCAAGGGTGGAGAGGGAGAAGAACCACTTCCGGAAAACAGACGCGAAGAGAGGAAGGCACTTCCGGGGCACAGAAAATGAGGATTATTAAAGAACAGTAGATTCGCAGGTGAGGGCCAAGTAGCGTTAAAAGATACGCAGGGATTACAACGCCTCTCTAGGGTGTGGGTTAAAATGTCTCTCTAGATACTCGAAGATAACATGACTCTAAACGAGTAAGTCTTGCCTGCGCGGGAGGACTCTCCGGTCTAGCGGCCATCTTGAATCCAGAAGTTTAAATAGAGCAGGCGGGGCCGAGCGGACGCCTGCGTCGGCGCGATGACGTCACATGTCTGCGCGGGAGGCGGTACCAACCCCTGCCGCAGGACTTTCTTGGGCCGGCTTGCGTAGAGCGTAGCTTTACCTTGATGGCGGAAGGGCGTTGAATGACGGTTGGGGCCCGCCATCTGCTTAAAGGGGCTCGTTCAACACGGAAGTGTCCCGGGGCTGCATTGGTACGGAGCCCTGGGGCCCAGCAAGGGTGTGCTCCTGCGGGACTGATGCGGGGACCACCCCGGCCCCGCCGGCCTCTAAGCCGCCGGAGGGCACTGTGCCTGTGCTGGCTGGGCCTGGCCGCCTGGATGCTGAGCACCCAAACCCCTTCCCGTCCCCATTTGCAGAAGTGGAATCAAAACTGGGGCTCGCCCCCGAATCATTGACTGGGATTCAGTCTACGCGGACGCCAGCGCAGCCTGCGGCGGCCGAGCCTCCTGCCCTCACAGGGCCTGGCCGGGTGCATCAGGAACAGGCGGTCTTAGGTCCCTAAATTCGAGGCCCTGCAGTGTGCCTCATCTTGGGGTCCCTGAATGGGGCCCTTGGGCCCCCAAGGAATCCCTGAGGCCTTCAGAATGGACAGCCTTGTGGAGGCACAATTGCATTCACGTGGGCAAGTAGTGCGCACTGAGGCATAGGAAAACATAATTTTCTATTTAGATGTGTTCCAAGTATAAAGTGGCGTGGCTGACATTTCATGGAGCCTTAAATTGCCTTCGCCAGTCATGACCTCAGTTAGTCTTGAGATACTTGGCAAAGAAATGTATTGCATTGTTGAGTGAGTGCTTATTGCGTTACTGAGTGATTGTATTGGCGTTCATAAAAATATGGGTGCTCAATAGAAATGGGGAAGGGGAGCAGGGAACTATATTTAAACTTTTCTGATACACTTACCAAGAACAAATGTATTGTTCATTTGGAATTTGATACGGTCTCTAATAATTTTCTGTTTCATAATGGTAGTGCCGCCCCCACCCTGCAAAACGTTTCAAAGGGTCAAGAGAAAAGACCAAATGCCCTTGCCAATTGGAATGTATACATCTGTTTCTTGCCAAGTAATTAAATCGTAGATTGCATAATCTATGTACCGAATAAATGTGGAATGTTGGGGGTTTTTTTGTTTGTTTGTTTTTAATGTATAAGACTTGGGTCAAGGTGAGGAGGGAAAGAAAAGATTTCCTTGAAATATTCTTGTGTTTAATTAGAATTAATTGAAACCACTGTGTTTAAAACAGAGAATGATGTTAGAAGAAAGCCTTGGAACGATGATCAACATAAGACTACACAGTACGTGGGATAAACTATTCCAACTTACAGCATTTTTGCTTTTTGTATTGCCAGTGCTGCAGCTAGAATGAAGCACATCAACCTGTCATTTGCAGCGTGTGGATTTCTGGGCATTTACCACTTGGGGGCAGCATCTGCACTTTGCAGACATGGCAAAAAACTTCTGAAGGATGTCAAAGCTTTCGCTGGGGCGTCTGCGGGATCCTTGGTTGCTTCTGTTCTGCTAACAGCACCAGAAAAAATAGAGGTAATTAAGTAGTAACTTAGACTGTGTTGCTCATCAGGAAATTAAGACCCAAAGGCAAACATGAGCATTGACTCTACTAAGTTAACACGGCAGAGAATTAATCCTTTGCTTGGAAACAGAAAGGATTAGGACTTTTCTTTTAAGATGTAATTATTAGGGATCTGTGCTCTGGTTGTGGAAAAGATTATTTTGCGTGATAGTGAAATAAGGAAATAAAATGACATATTACTCTTGAGTTTTTATTTATCCTTAAGATTCCAGCTCTGTTCCTTTCAAGCAAAGGATATTTCCTCTTTCTATGATGAGAAGAGCATGGGGCCTGTTTTCAAGGCCTTGAACATGTGGGCAACAAGTCTCTACTCACTGCTACGTAGAAATAGACATATAAATTAAAATGTGGGCAAGCAGTTTCTATTAAGTGGGATGGTATAGGAATTTAATTCTTTTTTAATTCTCACAGTGAAAGGAAGCTCTGAGTTCCAAGCAATTTATCCAGAAGTAATACAAATAAGTCTTCATTCAGTATTTTATTTAATGCAATCTATGTTTTAAAAATCTGTTTTCTGCTATCTAGACAGTGATCAAACATTTGCTGACTGTGAGAGCTGGATTCTGTAGTTGGAGGATATTATATTTGTTAATCATTACATACTTTAGTGGCTTTGAACAATAATGAAATAATAATTTAACACCCTCATGACCAAGAATGAATTTCAGTCACATTTAAAATTCTAAAACTGCAATTTTAATCATCAAAATCTCACTTCAGATCTTTTGTGAGCTGCTTATCAAAGGGAAGCTAGATTTGAGGCCAATCATTCAGAAATCCACTTATCTTCCTGTCTTTGTATGGTTGATTTACAGGGAACTAGAAAAGTGATTTAAAAACTGCAGAGATTAAACAGGATGAGAACCGTAAGCCATGCAAGGTATAAATGAGGTGGGAAAATTCCCCCTAAACTAGCAGATTCATATGCTTTGAATTACAAGCTACCTCCTTCCCATAACTGTGTTTCATTTTTGAAGCAGAGAACTCTCAGGGTGTTACTTCTTCCTTTTTACTGCAGTCTTTTCTTGAGCTCTGGCAAATCCTAAGCTTTGGAGTTATGTAGACTTGGTTTCCAATTCTCAGCAAATTAAAAAATGTATTATATGATTTAGAATAATTTACCTGATTTGGAAATACTGCAATAGTACAGCAACTTATACTTAACTGAAAATCTGCCATGTTAAGACATTGAATAATTTACCTGAATTGGAGAGTTGATGCCATCATCTTCTCAGATTAGTTTACCTGTTGTTGTTTATTTTTTGCACTAAATGAGAGACTGGGTTGTGTTGTCTGATGGTGCTGGTATGACGAAAAGATGTCTTTATCTGGTGCTCCCATGGGAAGGTAGAAAATAATTTTCTTAGTTTCCTTAGGGCATCCTCATTTGTTCTTGTTCAAAATAATTTTTCAGCCAAAGTAACCCTTTGACTTAAGGTTATTTTAGTTACTTTATATTTAGCATCTGAAATAATCCACCTGTAGGATAGCCTTGAGTGTTTTTTAGCAAATGTTTCTACCTACTCAGATTCGTGTTCACTTGGTTCTTGCTGATGATGTAAGTTCCTCAAGCTTTTTACTGTTGTGACAAATACGTGTGTAACTAATCTTGTTCTGAGCTTATGCATGAATAATTAAGAGGAGCACCTGATACAGGGCATGTTTTAAGTGGTAGGCAAATTTAGACGTTGATATGGAAGAGCTCAATGCTGCAAGTCTTTCCTCTGCCCTCACAATTTGCGAGGAAGGCATGATGCTAGACTCAGTGGGGAACTCAAAGATGAATAAGTCCATCTTTAATAAGTTTACAGTCTGGTCCGGGCTATGGAGAGTATTGAATATAACTAAAATTAGTACAAAGAAATAGGCTAGATGGGTAGTCTAGCTCAGTAGAATGAACATACATTTGGTGGGGCTACCCCCATTTCTCACCCAGGAGCTTCCTGCAGCCTATATCCATTCAAGCTCCCTACAATCCACCTACCTCATAGCACTTAGAGCGATGTCACCCAAAGGTATATCTGATCACCTCATTACCCCCGGGGCAGAGGCTGTCTGTTGACTTAGGATAATGTGGCCCACGTTTCTCAGCTTGTGTCACAAGGCCCTATGTGACTTAGCCCTACTTGTGGCTCGCCATAGGGACGCATTTCAGCTCTGTGCCCCTCTCAGAGTTGTTCTTGCTGTTGTTTTTACTATCCTCTGCTTTCATCTTCATCCCCTGCCCAATTCCTGTTTATGTTTATTAAGTCCCAGCCTGGGTGTCAAATTGGAGGGAAACCTTTGGCAACCCACGAGGTTGGAGGTTGACACACACCGTATTCATTTCCTGTTGCTGCTTTGACAAAGGACCTTCAACTTAGTGGCTTAAAACAGCATGTGTTTATCATCTTCCAACTCTGGAGGTCTTAAGTCTAAAAGGGTCTCACTGAGCTAAAATCAAAATGTCCTTGCTCACTCTCTCCAGAGGCTCCAGGGGAGAATCCATTTCCTTACCTTTTTCAGTTTCTGAAGGGTGCCCAGACTCCTTGGCTCCTGACCCCTTCCTTGATTTCTAAAGCCATAAGCACAGCATCTTCAAATCTCTCCAACTCTGCCTCTCCTACCTCCCTCCTTCCCTTACAAGAACCTTTTCGATGACATTGGTCCTACCCAGGTCATCCAGGATTATCTCCTCATCTCAAGGTCCTTAATTGGCTCTACAAAGTCCCTTTTAACAAAGGTCTCCTAGTCACAGGTTCCAGGGACTAGAATGTGGATATCTTTGTGGGGAGAGGAGAGACCACTGCAATAATATAGCCACTTAACTGAAATTCTGCAATGTTAAGACATTGAATAATTTACCTGAATTTGAGACTTGATGTCCTCATATTCTCAAATTAGTTTACCTGTTATTATTTATTTTTTGCACTAAATGAGAGCCAAACACACCCTCGTGGGGACTCTCATAGCCCTCTGTCACCTGCTCTTGGAGGCACTTATGAATGTCATGAGCACAGTTTCTTTGTATCTTGTCCTGTCCAAGTCCCAGTGCCTAGCCAAGTACGTGGTGTCCAGTTAGTTGCCAAATTAATTCATTATTTAATACAAAACAGACTTGGGTGTAAATCCTGGCTCTGAGACTCATTTTTAGTGAGATATTGGGATAGGTACTTGAACTCTCCAATCCTCTGTTTTCTTATCTGTCAAGTTGGATGGTTATACCCACCTTGCAGGATGATGTGAAGATGAACTGACAGTGTCACCTCTGTGGATCCCAGTCCAGGGTAGACAGAGCATCCCTGAAAGACTTTATAAAATACCAGTGCCCAAGATGAATCTCCGAAGACTGGTTCAGTCTGTGCAAACCATAGACGTCACCACTCCTATTTCTGTCACTGGTGCTGTCATTTGTAATCAGCTTTATTGCAGGGTTGTAATCAAACTGCTGCTGAGACCACAAAATAGGTGTGGGAGAGAAGGTTAATTGCGCTGAGGAAACCTTCTGAAGAATGTGCTCAATTAAAATTCAGATTGAGCCTTCAAGGATTTTTCAGACGGGGCAAATGCCATTTAAGGTGCTTTACAAAGGAAAAAACAAAAAAGATTAGGATTTTGAGAGTGTATACCTTGCAAAGGGCCTGAGAGTGGTGGGTGAGGCCCCAGCCAGGTGGAGAATTTGCACACCTTTGATGACACATAGGGTCACTTCTTAATTTTCTTTTTTTAGGAATGTAACCAGTTTACCTACAAGTTTGCCGAAGAAATCAGAAGGCAGTCTTTTGGGGCAGTAACACCCGGTTATGACATCATGGCCCAACTAAGGTATACAGAGTACATTTTGCCCAAAAGTACATGAAGACAGAATGTTGACAACTCTCTGTACAAACTGTGGCAAGCTCAGCATTCTCTCTTGTAAAATATTTACAGGGCGTTCAGTAATTAAAGGTGAATGATGCAGATTGCTTTTTCTTTAGAAGTGGAATAGAGTCGATTCTTCCTCCCAACGCTCACGAGCTGGCCCAGAACCGACTGCACGTGTCCATCACCAACACCAGAACCAGAGAAAATCACTTAGTCTCCACTTTTTCCTCCAGGGAGGACCTCATTAAGGTAATAAAGCCATGTTTCCTATTTGAAGAAATCAGCAGGTGCTGATTTCAATACTTTATATAAAAGTAATGAGCATTACCATGTTATTTAGATCCTGTATCTCTTATCAGGCCCGATAGATGGTTGAGTGCTCAGTAAATTACATGTTTGATGAAAGTATTCACCAGGATCCCTCCTGAGGCCGCCTCATGATGCACTGTCATCCAAAAGCTCCCTGTACTTGTTCAGTGTCTTCCTACAATGTTCAGATCTCACATTGATTATGTGAAGCAAGTCGCTGATGCAATTTAGTAGCAATAATTCCCGAAATCTATGTGGCTAATACTTTGGAGTGTATGTAGGGTTTTTAACATGTACTCTCTTATTCAGTCCTTCAAGTCCTTCTGTAAATCAGGTAGGATAGGTGTTATTGTGACCCTTTTATGTTTTTGTTTTTGTTTTTGTTTTTGTTTTGAGAGGGAGTCTCGCTCTGTTGCCCAGGCTGGAGTGCAGTGGTGCACTTTTGGCTCATTGCAACCTCTGTCTCCTAGGTTCAAGCAATTCTCCTGCCTCAGCCTCCTGAGTAGCTGGGATTACAGGCATGTACCACCATGTCCACCTACTTTTTGTATTTTTAGTAGAGACTGGGTTTCACCATGTTGGCCAGGCCAGTCTTGAACTACTGACCTCAAATGATCTGCCTGCCTCGGCCCCCCAAAGTGCTGGAATTACAGGCGTGAGCCACCGCACCTGATCCCTTTTATGTTTTTAACAGAGAAGTGAATGAAAATATTTTATGTGATGTATGTACCAATGTACCCAAGATTATCCTGCGTGGCAGTGGGAGCCAATTCTGGTACCCAGGTCTCTTAACTTTTCAATCTAATATTCCGTTTTGTTTCTTCCATTTTGTTCTGATGTCTTTCTGTCCAAACACATTTGAAAGTTGGTTGGTTGAGAATTCATTATCTCTGGGAAATACTTCAGCTGATTGATTTCCAAATACCAGTGTGCCTGCTGTGGTAATACACTGAATATTTGTAGGGTGGAAAGGGTGTATTTCTTTTGGAATTTTTTCTTGTTTTTCCCTCTAGTGCAAATCATAACAAGCTTCAGGTAATAGGGAGAATGTATGTTTTCACACAGCGGAAGGTAATGGGTTGAGAGTAAGTGGTAAAATTCCATATACTTGGATGCTGTCATTTGAAATACTTAATGAAATGTTGAATTGACAAGTAAAATTACTTGGCCACTTAATAGGTTAGAATATTTTTCCTCAATATCCCTGTTACGTCAGTCTGTCACTTACAAGTTAAGAGTCTATCTTATAAGAAGACATTATTCTATAATCTCATTACAGTATTATGTAGATTTGACAGTGTAAAGGGAAGAGCTGGGCAACCCATGCTGAGTGGTCCTAAGTCATCAATGTCCAATACAGACAGATAAGGCTTGCGGTGGGCAGACATACATCTTCGTGTTTATCTAGGAACAGACTATGTGCTCTTGTGACATAAAATGAGAGGGATTCTGCCCCCAGATCTCTCTTTCTCACAGAGTCCATCCCTGGCTTCTCTGTCTACAATGACAGAACTCTCAGCCCCTGATCTCCCTACATCCCTCCTGATTTACATATCACTCTTTAGCATGATACCTCTTTACTGCTGTCCTGTTTAGCTTTTATTGTCCATCCTCCTTCACCAGAGTGTAAGCTCCAAGAGGCAGGGCTTTCTCTGGTTTGCTCACTGCTACAGCCCAGTACCTGCCACACTGCCAGCCATTGTGTAGGCACTCTGTAATATGTGTGAAATGAATGGATATGAACCAAGGTTGTATCTGTTACACTGGCTTGATTTAAAACAAAAGAAAAGAAAGAAACTGGGCCCTCCGTACTCTATGACCCGGGCAAAATCACATAGCTGGCTGGGGCCCAGCTGTGACTGTGGTCCACGCGTCTAGCATTCTTACCTAACTCTACCCCACGCTGGATAAAATGCTCATCCTCCCTATCCATCTCTTTTATGTGTCAGACAGAAGAATGACACCCAAAGCTGCCCTTACCCTAATCCCCAGAACCTGTCCAGATGTAACCTTACCTGTCAAAAGGGATTCTGTAGATGTGATTAAGTTTAAGGTCTGAGATAGGAGGATGATCCTGTATTATCCAAGTGGACCCAAACTAAGTACCTGAATCTTGAAAAATGGACACCTTTCCTGGATTCTGTGTACCATGGCTGGTTTGGAGATGTAAGAGCCACATGCCAGGGGAGCACAGAGACTTCTAAGGAAGCAGCTCCCCACTGTCAGCCAGCAAAGAAAAGGGGACATCTGCCCTGTAACCTGTGGAACTGAATTCTCCTAACACCTGAATGTGCAAGGAGACACATTCTCCCCCAGAGCCTCCAGAAAGAGACGCAGCCCTGCTGACACCTGGATTTTCCCAGTGAGACCCATACCAGACTTTGGACCCTCAGACTGTATGACAATACATGTGTCTTGTTTGAAGCAGTTACATTTGTAGTAATTTGTTATAACGGCAATAGCAAACTGTTGCTGTTAAGAAAACATGATGTTTTTCTAGTTCCTTTGTTTTGGATAATAACTATTCAGAGAATTCGTGTAATTAGTTGAGTTCATTGAACAGAAGAGAAATTGTTGACACAAATGTGTAATACTTGTAAGGAGAAAATCGAATAATTGACATTTATTCTGGGTTCTACAAGAAACATTCTACGTGTTTAGGAGGATGTTTTAACCTTTTTCAGAATTAAAAAGAAGGAAGGATGAATAGTTCCATGATAGCAGACGGTGACTGTTAAACTGTGAAACCTATGCCTGGAATACTCAGGAAGAATTTAGCAGAAAAGAGTGACAGTGCGGGAAGACTAGGGATGATGTAGGAAAGGAATAAGCGTGAAGAGGAAGTAAAGTAACCCCCCTGCCAGGTAGGGACATGATCAAGTATATATGTTCCGGTGAAAGAAGAGGATGGTGGGAGAATGTTGTCTGAGGTGGTGCCATGGGAGGATGGTGCTTCTGACCTTTTTGGTTGGGATTGGGAAGGCTGCCTGAAGGTCACCCCACTCCCTTTAGGTGGAGACAGGAGGCTCTGAAGCCATGCGTTGAAGCAGCTTGATGATGGGTAGCTGCAGGTCTCCCAGGGCTTGGTACACCTGGTTCTGAATACACAGCCTGGGGTCTTGATATGGTTTGTCTGTGTCCCCCCCCCCCCAAATCTCACCTTGAATTGTAGTTCCCATAATTCCTATGTATTGTGGGAGGGACCCAGTGGGAGATAATTGAATTATGGGGATGGTTTTCCCCATCCCATACTGTTCTCCTGGTAGTGAATAAGTCTCACAACATCTGCCTTTCACCTTCCACCATGATTGTGAGGCCTCCCCAGCCACATGGAATTGTAAGGCCATTAAACCTCTTTTTCTTTATAATTTACCAAGTATCGGGTATGTCTTTATCAGCAGTGTGAAAATGAACTAATACAAGTCTACTTCCCAGTATCTGGATATTCTTTAGATGGAGGGGATGGGAGACAGAGAGAAAGAGAGAGGTTGATTAAAACTCAAGTTAGAGAAAAGAGCATGGGAGAGCATGAAATACTAAACACTGATGGTTTTCACCTCCTTTAAACTTTGCTCCATGTTGTATTTTCTGTCTGTTTTTATCATTAACTCATTTGTTCTGCTACTTAATAGTTGAATTTTTTTAAAATGCCTAGTTTTTCATTATCCACTAGCTGACTGATGCTGTTTGTTACAGTGTGCCTACGTACCTGAAAATCCAACTAGAAACCTGTAGCTTAGAATGTGTGTGTGAGAGAGAGAGAGAGAGAGAGTGTGTGTGTGTGTGTGTGTGTGTGTGTGTGTATTTTGAGGTCTTTTTGAATCTCCTCAAGGATGGTTACTTGTTTTATGAGTGTCCTGGTGATCATGTCTAGGCCTGTCGTTTCCTGACGTCATCCTCTTGGACTGATTATTTTTGAGTCTCAGTTTTCTCATCTCTGAAATAGAATAATTTGCACAGTAATACTAACTAGTGTTACTGTGCAGAATAAATAAGATAAAGCATGTGAAAGTGTGTTTTAAATGGTAAAGCCCTTTATGCATGCTGAATGGAGCCAATATTTCATAAATAATGAACAAATAATAACCCATACACACCCCTGCTCAGCGCCCTTGTATGAATCTGTCATGATATTTTAAAGCCATGTTCAGTCACAACTTTCTTTTCTTCAGGCTGAATAGGACTTACTTTTTCTTATCAATGTTACTCTTTAACCCCTTACTTATCACCTGTCTTCATGAACAATGTGCTAATTGATATCTGTAATACTTCAGGAAATGGTTGCTGCTGAGTTCTTGCCACCTTTAGGCATTTGATTTTACAGCTCATCATCATAAGCCTTCTTTTTTAAAATAAATAATTTTGTATGATGATTCATACTTAATTTATCTTAATGAGCTTCACCTGTAGTGGCATGGAAAATCACTTGTTTGAAAGCTGCAATGCTAGTTGATCGTTTTCCTGGAACCCTTGCGGACTGTGTGGTCCAACTCTTCATTTTATTTAGAGTTGAATTTCCACAGAATTTTGAATCTTATGTTCATGAGGATTTAACTCAGTCTTTTCTACTTTATAAACCGTTATAAGACAGATGCAGGCCTTAAGGCATTCCTTTGTTCAGAATTTATTGGTGTCAACCATTCCGCTCCTCCCTTATAGTGACTGTACTAACAAAGGGAAACACAGATGGTGTCTGCTGCTCAACTACTTAAAGGCAGCCTGCAGAGGGGAGACCCCTTTATAGAGTTAACCAGAGCCCCAGGAGGCCCCCCTCCAAAATCATATCTTTATTTCCCATCTGAGAGATTGATTTCCGGGTGCCACACCCAGAAAAATGTTCCCTCCAAGGATGACCCTTTATGTCTGTGGGTCACCAACAGATCAAAACCAAGATGAGATCAGTTCCTGCAAATGCAGATAATTTAGGGGATGGAAAAGAGTCATGGAGGGGTGGTACACATCCACCTAACCCTGTCATTGGTGGGCTCTGGGACCTTTGGTGAGTCTGAACTTCTTGGAGCCTTGGTTTCTTCATCTTTAAGATGGATACCTTCAGAACAAGGCCAAATGAAGTATGTATGAAAGTATTTCATCAACTCTTAAGTACATACCAGATGTGCATGGTCACCTTCAAGTGCCTCCACTCTCCAGACATCCATCTCTTCATACTGTTCATTATTTTGCATGATTCCTTCCTGATTCCTCTCCTGGTGTGCCGCTCTACAGAGTATCCCCCGAGTGTCAAGTGTGCGCATTTTGCATACCAACTCATTCATTTCGAGTTCCAGATTTTGTTGTGGGCTGTTTTTCTTTAGAAGCATGCATGCAACTAGGAAATCCAAACACATTTTAATGTTAGCCTTCAGCAAAGCATAACTAGGGAGGTGAGCCCCTAGGTTAAAAGAAAGTCATATGCAACCTCCATGGCTGAGCTAAAATGATGTGTAAAAGAAAATTAACAGTGCAGTGACGTGGTGGAGTTCCACTACTTCCCTGAATTGGTACGAATCATTGAATTCTTCATGTTTAAGACTGATACACAAGTGTTTTCCAAAAGGGTCTTTTGACACGTGTGAATGCTGTAGGATAGAGGTACCCAGGAAGCCTTTCCTGCACAGTAGTGTCCCTGGCCATCTTGAGAAAATTCTGCCCTGTCTCTATTGCAGTGATGTCCTGAATTTCTTCGCATGTGTGAGAATGCTCTTAACAAGATCCTCTCACATTTAGCCTTGTGAAGGTGAAATAAGAACTGAATTTGAGATTGGTCATTATCTTGGAAAAACTGAGGAAGATAAATTTGAATCTGTCTTTGAATTTCAACTATACCAGCAGGTTCTGTATAAACAGTTAGATTCTCATTAAAGTCCACAGTAAACTTTAAGCATAAATGAAACTTGTTGAGAATTTAATCCCTAAGGAAGCTAGGCCACATAATTTTCTAAACACCTCTTTTCTATAAAATGCAAAATGAAGAGAGTCAATCAGAACGTGTCGAGAATGCGCACCTGGCAGTGTTTTATACTGTTGCTATAGGAAGACACTAGCTCTCATTTTTATCATTGTGTATTTAGTAAGAACACAAATCAGTGATTTCACATATGTCCAACATTTAAAGTGCTGTACCAAGTGATAGGGTGTGAAAACTACACCCCTGCTTTCCACATCAGCGTTCTCAGCCACAAACACTGCACTCCTGGCAGTAGGGACCCAGATTATTCCCCAGATAGTTATTTCTTGTGACAGCTGTCTATCCTTTGTAAGAATTTGAGCAGCATCCCTGGTCTCTGTTCAGTAGATGCCAGCAGGACACCACCGCCCCCCACCCTCTACCCCAGGTTATGACAGACACATTGATAAACGTCCCTGGGGGTAAAATCACCCCCAGCTGAGAACAAGTGCTGTAGACGTGTTGAAGTTCATTGGCAAGGTGAATTTCACTGGGAATATTGTGAGGTGAAATACACTAAAAGCATATGTTTAGGCATAATATTTTATTATATGACCTTAGAATGTCAGTCTTTATCTCCTTTCTTAGGAAATCCTATTTGCCTGCAATAAAATGGCAGTAAGCTGACTACAAATAAGAAAAGCTACTTAGCTCTTAACTATCTAAAGCTAATTTCCCCACTAAACTTGGTTTAATATACAAATCATCAGTCCATATAAAGGGAGAGTCAGCTATGACTAAAACAAATACATTTATTTGGAGGAGTGACAAGTATTTTCCAGTTCACTGCACTTTTCATATCATTCAGGAGGATTCTTACTGTTATTATCTGTAGGAAAGTAATTGGATAGCATTTTTCATCAAAATATCTCAAAATAGTTCCAAGCATTAACTTGTGAACTCTACATTTTACTTTGACACGGGGGAAAAGAAAATAAAACAAACCGTAATTCTAAGGTTAGTGATTTTTTTGCAGTTCACATGTCTCTCTGCAGAATAATGAAATAAATCATTATATTTATGGAGTGTTTTTGGTTCTTTAAAGACCTCTAAGTACTGTAATTTCACAATATGTGTGCTATCCACAAATTGCTCTAGTTATTGCTTTATGGTGTGGCATTTGCTGAATAAGTTCATTAAATAGCTACATTGTGCTTGCAAAACATACCTAGGGTCTGTGATTATTTTTTTAAAAGTGTAGCCAATTGCTGATAAGGCTGGGTTTAGTTAGGGTGAATGCAGTTACCTTAACCGTAAACAACCTTTCTCTGAAGCCAATGATGTTATTGCTACCAGTGGGCTGAGAAGGTTGGAGTTGAAGATGCCTGCTTTCTGTCCTCTCTCTCCTATTGATTTATTAAGTGATCTTTACCAAATCACCCAAGGTGCTACTCACTCCTGCTTTGCCTCTTTGTGAAAGAAGCATGATTGCTGTAATGTCACAGTTTTGCATTATGTGGGCCATTTAAAGTTGAGATTTTGAGAAGAATGTCATGATGTGGGCATGTCCGCAATGACATTTTGTAGAAGGTTGACAGACCTTGTGTGAGGTTATTATTATGCCTTGTAATCAATAAATAAACAAGCACATAAAAAATAAATACAAGTGCCTGCTTTCCTTTGAGAAACAGTGCTGCAAACTAGCGTGCTTTCACTATTTCAATAAACAAGCGATTGAGATAGATGTGTATAAAATTGACCAAAAGATGAAAAAAAGACTCATTGTGAGAAATCTGAAATGTTTATGTTGGCTCTGGTAAAATATACATTTTATATTAAAATAAATTGATGCCGGGGGCAGTCTCAACCATGTATTAGCAGAGAGATCTTTGAGCAACTTTATCTTTTTGAGACAGGGCCAAGAAATAATTAAATTAGACAGTATATTTGAGGCAAAGTCTACTTCATGAGTGTATGACCTGTGCATTTGCACATGGCTCCACTATCCAAAGGGCCTCACCGTTGGTTTAATGCTCTGCTGCCAACATCTCAATATTCTCCATACTTTATGAACAAGGGGCCCTGCATTTATTTTATTTTGGACAGGACCCAGAAATTATATAGCTGGTTCTGGCACCTAGTGCCAGCATGGTGCAACAGAACCCTTTCACACATGGCTATTTCTTACCTTCTTTTCTGCTGGAGTCCCTGTGTTGTGCTGTTATCCTTGAATTTGCCACTGCTGAAACCTGAGGCCCCAGAAACTTCTTTGGGCATTTGTCAGGAGCCTGTTGCTATAGGAGCTGTTAGAACCAGGCCTGTGCCTTTGCAACCAGCATGCCACCAACAGCACTGGGCAACCTTCTTTAGTCCCACTATTGAGGTAGGTGGAGGAGTGTTGGGTCCGTTCACATCACAGAGAAGGGAGAGAAATACCTAACAGATGTTTGTTGAGTACGAGCTCTGCCAAGGGCTGGACATACCAGGAGAGACACAAGTCCCTGTCCTTTCAGTGGGGTTTTTGGTAATGAGGAAACAGGAGACATGTCCAAGGAAGAACCACTGCATAAGAAAGCTATGGAAGTTCCCTGTACATGGTGCAGAAATAAAAATGGCAAGAGTAGGTTCCAGCTGTGTCGGGTTGCAGCTCAAAAGAGGATTTTCCTATGGAAATTGTTATGCTGCTGACTGAATCTGTAATTTAGTTGCTGTTCAGAATAAATAGGCTTTTGAGAGCTGACCCAAAAACCATACCTATAACATTGATTTTTAGAGGAAATGCCTTTTGAGTTCTAAATAATTGTAAATGGATGATCTGCAAGTCAGCATTTGAGCCATAATCCATTTCTGAATAATGTATGATGGAAAAAAAAGTCTCATGAAATCTTTGACAACAAACAGCCAGAGTCTTTCACTTATCAGTTGAAAGATTATAGCTTAAAAAATATTCAGTATCTAATGCTGTATGTTTTCAAATAGAACACTAGTGATTTGGAAACTACACAGCAAAATAAAACATTTACATTTCAGAAAAGCTATCAGAGCCCAACTTCTTATGATATATGGAATGGTAATTGCCTAAATGACAATCTTTTTCAACTTTTTAAATGGGAGCTAAAGCATAATTGATGTCACTGCTTGCCAGGGTTCCATTATATATCCTGACCACGTCATTGGAACATAAAATATGTCATTCCCTTTGCAAATCCTGGTGACATAAATGAGAACATCTCTGAGCTGCGGCCTAACCTCTCCTGTCGTAATCAGAGGGCGTTGTTCCTCCAGAAAGTAGGAGTGCAACTGCAACATGGTTTTTACAGTATATGATAGAACATTACAAATAATTTCTCTGTAACCTTTACATACTCAGGAACTTAGACTTATCTTAAATTTTGGTTTATAATAACTTGTGTGTCTACTATAAAAATGCTGATTTTTACCCAGGTGAAGTTGATTGATTCTGAGTGTGTCAACTTGTACCTATCTGTTTAGAGTCTTTTCTGTTATTAAAAGTGTTATCTTTTATGTAATTATGTGCAGTGCTGCACTTGAAGTCTGTGGGGCTTATTTATTGAGATTTTGCTAGTCAATACTACATCAACTGTATTGTCTGAATGTTCATGCATGTAGTCATAAGCTGCTTTATTTTATCCATCTAGGTCCTCCTAGCCAGCAGTTTTGTGCCCATTTATGCAGGACTGAAGCCAGTGGAATACAAAGGGCAGGTAAGCTTGTTATAACTGAGGAATTACCTTCCTCCCCATATTAATATGTTTCTTTCGAAACATCCAATTTTATAATTGTTCTGGTGGCTTCAAATCAGTTTATATGTTTTTTTCCTCATAAATAGCTTTGTTTCTCTTTAAGAGGAAAAAAAATACAGGGCCAGTGATAACTTATCATCAAGATCTCGTGAATGGGAATGATTGACTGTGATGCTCTTATTTTCATCATATATATATGTGTGTGTATGTATATATATATATGTTCTGTTGTTGCTGTTGTTATTGGCAGTGAATGGTTTTTTTTCCTCACATAGTAAAGTCCTACTCACAGCCCCTTCTAAGCAGAGTTGTACCACCATCAGGGTGAGAAAAGGCTTCAGGGCTCCACACCTTGTCCTCCCCCAGACAATGCAGCATGGGTTCCTTCCAGCCTGCCCTCAGCCCCTCTGCTAGGGGATGACCCACTCCCTTCCAAGGGTCTCTACTTACCCAGACACATTGATCACTGTAAGGCCAAAACCCGTTTTGTTTGAGGATAGTGCTCCTCTCTTGGAGCTGGCACTTAAGACAGGATGCCAGTTCTTTTAGGGAAATTTAGACATGGGCATGCACCCAAAGTCTGCGCTGAGTGTGACCCAGCTTCCTTCTGTGATCTACACAGAGTTTGTTTTGAGTATTCACCATTCTATCCGAGGCAGCTCCCCCATTGCGTGGACACAGGTTCAATATGAGCATTTTATTCTCAAATATGGTGTCTGTTTCACACATGTCACAGATGTATATTTTATAACCAAATGTAGTATTTGGTTTAATGTGTTTATTTAACATATGATGGAAACATACATTTTATAATTAATACAATAGCTATTTTACAGACACCAGAGATATGTATTTTCTAATCAAATAGAGTATCTGTTTAGCACATACCAGAGATATGCATTTTATAATCAAATGCAGTATCTATTTAACACATACCAGAAATATGCATCTTATAATCAAATAGAATAGCTATTTAACACATACCAGAGATATATATTTTCTAATCAAATAGAGTATCTGTTTAGCACATATACCAGAGATATGTATTTTATAATCAGAGTTATCTAACACGTACTAGAGATATATATCTTTTAATCAAATATTATACCTATTTAACACATTCCAGAGATATATATTTTATAATTAGAGTAGATATCTAACACATACCAGAGATATGTATTTTATAATCAAATAGGGTATCTGTTTAGCACATACCAGAGATATGTATTTTATAATCAGAGTATCTGTCTAACATGTACCAGAGATATGTATTTTTTAATCAAATATAGTACCTATTTAACACATGCCAGAGATATATGTTTTATAATCAAATAGTGTAGATATTTAATACATATCAGAGATACATATTTTATAATGAAAGTATTTAGCATATATCTAATAAAGTATTTAGCATATATCAGATCAGGCATATATTCAGGATGAATAAATTACATTTGTTTTATATATATGTAATATATATTTATTTATTAATAAAAGAGTACATACAAAGTGCTTTAACCATCATTCATTCATTCATTCACTCACTTTGAGGGCCCAGCACCAGGCCTGTGCTCAAGGAATTGATGGTCTCTCAACAAAAGAACTGAGTTTTACAAACTCTTTGGCTAATAGGATCGAGGCAGTGTCTCTGTTCTGATCTCATTGGTCCTCATCAGTGTCTTTCCTTGAGCTTTGCTGAACTTTGGAATTTTTCTTTTCTCTCGTGCAAATCATAATAGGCTTCAGTTAATATGGAGAATGTATGTTTTGATAGAGCAGAAGGTAATGGGTTCAGAGTGAGTGGTAAAATTCCACATATTTGGATGCTGTCATTTGAAATACCTAATGAAATGTCGAATTGACAAGTAAAATTACTTTGCCACTTAGTAATTAGAATATTTTTCCTCTATGTCCCTATTATGCCAGTCTCTCACTTACAAATTAAGTGTTTCTATCTTAGAAGGAGAGGCAGGTGGTAGAGGCTCCAGGTTCTCTTCCAATATACACTTTCTTCTTCTTCCTTAGTAACAGAATCCCAATTTATATCTGGACCTATGGCTGTGCAGCTAGGTTATATATCCCAGCTTCCCTTGCAGTTAGGTGTGGCCGTTTGTTTTATTGTTGGGCAATGACATGTGAGCCGAATAACTGTGGGACTTACAGTACAAGGAAAGTTGTATACCTTTCCATTTTTCCTGTTGCCCAGAACTTAGATATGATTACTGGAGCTCCAGCAGCTATTGTTCATCATGAGGTCAAGGATCACACCCTGAAGATGGCCAAACAGTGAACTGGAAATACCCAGGTCCTAAATGATTTGAGGAGTCTGCCTTACCATCCTGCCCTCGATATTCCTGTTACCAGAAATAAAGAAGTAAAACTTTTTTTTTTTTTGAGATGGAGTCTTGCTCTGTCACTCATGCTGGAGTGCAGTGGTGCAATCTCAGCTCACTGCAAGTTCCACCTCCCAGATTCACGCCATTCTCCTTACTTAGCCTCTTGAGTAGCTGGGACTACAGGCGCCTGCCACCATGCCCGGCTAATTTTTTGTATTTTTAGTAGAGATGGGGTTTCACCGTGTTAGCCAGGATGGTCTCTATCTCCTGACCTCATGATCCGCCCGCCTTGGCTTCCGAAAGTGCTGGGATTACAGGCGTGAGCCACCGTGCCCAGCCTAAAACTTTTGTTATTATTGTATACACCAGAATCCAGTGCTATCTGCTGTAGGGATTCTTACTTCCAATTTTACATGTGAGGAAATTGAGATGTAAAGACGTCAGTCTATTTCACTGAAGTCTCTGAGCTTAGAAGGGGGCAACTTCCCCAAGATAGTCCTTAATGTTTCTATCTTTGCTGTGCCTCTTACTCTGCTTTGCCCTTTAGTTCTTTTCAAACAATGCATTCCTTGTTTTCTTCCTGTCCAGCCCCAGTGCCATGTCGTGGGTGTGTGACAGGAAGACTAGCAATGTTTAAAAGGGCATGAGTGAGGAATCAGAGTTTCTAGTGAACTTTCCATGATTTGATTGAGTACTTTGGACATGAACATAGAGTGACAGCCACAATTAAACAGCAGGGAACGCACAGGCCCAGAACTGTGAGGAAGATGGAAAGCGACCCACACAAGCCCCTTGACCCTGGGCAATGTCCCAGGACAGTGTCTTGCTGATCATGTGGTTTCTGTGCATAGGAGGCACATCATAATTACTTGTAGAGTTGAACCTTATGTCTCCTGAAAGCATTCAGTTTTCCTCTGTTGTTTAATGGAGTCTGCAATAAGGGGGCCTCACGCACATGATTGACAAGAGAGCCACAGTGGCCTCGCATTGTTTATAACACCAGAAAGCGACAATTTAGAAGTACCATTCTCTGCTTAACACTAACTCTCCTTAAGCCTGATCACCTCCCACATTCTAATAGGGTTTCCATGCCGAGTTGTTTTCTAGAATCTTTCCTTTCCATTTTCAGGGAAGTGTGAAAGTTGCTTTAAATGCAGTGTTTTAATGTTAGTATAAGCTTTTTATGTGATTTAAATTACTTAAACATTTCAGTCATGCTGAATGCACCTCTCGTTTTCTAGATTTTCATGTTTTCATAGAGCTCAGGTTTTGATGTATTTGTTGTCTTTGGTTGTTTTTCTGAAGTGACGAAAGTGGAGGTGGCAGAAGGGGAAAAAGAGACTTAGTGTTACTTATGTTTGTGGCATTGAGTCAGGAAAGGCAGACACAGTGGGACTCGGGAAACAGGGGCAGAGTCTATTCTCTCCACTTGTGACTTTTGTTAAATACACAGACCTCCTCATTTCTACATTGCAGGTATTGCTGGATTTTATTAAGATATATTTGTGGATCCAATATGTGCATTAAAATGTTTTTATTAATCGCTTAGAAGAATCATACCTTAATAATACATAAGATTAATTTCAACTAGAGCAAACACCAGTATGAGTCCTTTCAAAACCCTCTACCAGTGGTTTAAAGTGGAATGATGTCTTTGAAAATTACTTTTTCTTTTTAACTTGGGAAACATGGCAAAACCCTGTCCCTACGAAAAAATACAAAAATTAGCCAGGCATAGTGGCATGTGCCTATAGTCCCAGCTGCTTTGGAAGCTGAGGTGGGAGGATCACCTGAGCCTGAGGAGGTTGAAGGTGCAGTGAGCTATGATCACACCACCATACTCCAGCCTGGGCAACAAAGCAAAACCCTGTTTCAAAAAAAAAAGAAAGAAAAAGAAAAAACTGCTTTTTAAAAAATATTATTTTAAAAAGTTCTGTAGTTTTCTCTGGCTTCATCTTATGACTATTTTAGTACCTTACTTATAGTACATACTCATTAATAGATGTGTCAGTGAATGAATGGAAATAAATTGAAGTTTAGTCCTATATTTTTGACTAATGATTTTTCTTTACTACATATGAACTCTTTCCAATGGTAGAATAAATCCACAGGAATGTTCACACATTTAGGCCATGTTTTCACAGATTCTTGTCAATTTGGAATAAGAATGAAAATTTTCAAGAGGAATTCTTAACTGATTTGTTTTAAAAGAGAATTAGCATTGGCAGGTAACTAAAATATCAGAATAAAATCATCTCCAGAACTGGCAGATTCAGATCAGAAGAAAAGCTGTAGGATTGACTGGGCACGGTGGCTCCCACCTGTAATCCTAGCACTTTGGGAGGCTAAGGCGGGCGGATCACCTGAGATCAGGAGTTCGAGACCAGCCTGGCTAACATGGTGAAACCCTGTTTCTACTAAAAATACAAAAAATTAGCTGGGCGTGGTGGCACACGCCTGTAATCCCAGCTACTCGGGAGGCTGAAGCAGGAGAATTTCTTGAATACAGGAGGCAGAGGTTGCAGTGAGCAGAGATCACGCCATTGCACTCTAGCTTGGGCAACAAGAGTGAAACTCTGTCTGGAAAAAAAAAAAAAAGAAAAGAAAAGAAAGGCTGTAGGATTTTGCATTGTTTCCTTTCATCTGAGTTGGAATTCAAGTAATATTTTGACTCTGTAGTATTACATGATCACTTCTTGGCCTTTTGGCTAAGATTAAGTGTATACTATTACAGGAACATGAAAATGCACCATTGTATTATCCTAGTCCATGCAAATTTGGCCTTATGGGTCATTTATTCTTTCATTCTTGACACTTCTGTCGGAAACAGAATTGTGGGAATACTCCATGTAACTGTGCTTTTATATGAGGTCGATACTGTGGTCCTTAGGCTCCTGTTTCCTCATGGCTTAGACTTTTAACATAGAAATGCAGCTCTGTCACTGTCATAGCAAACAGTGGTAGCTGGCCTTGTCACCAGCTAGATTTGGCTGGATGGAAACCTGGATATCAATTTCTCGTTATTCTGAAATAGACGCTATTATTCTTCAGTGACTTTTTAGATTTTTTTGGTTTGTCTGTTTAATTTTTGAAACAACATGTTAGTCCTCTAGGGAAAATTTTCTATATGGTGTTTATAGATGGTCAACTGTTAAATAACCCTTTAGAGCCTTCTCAAAAGTAGGTATCTGGAGTCATCATTTTTAATCATCCTTCACACATGCAAAAACCAAGAAAGCAATGCACCAAGAATCAATACTTAGTAGAGGTTAGTATGGCAGGTTTCTCAACCTCTCTTTTAGAATTGTATTTTTACTTGTCTTTCTTTGATTAAAAAATCTCATCTGTCTTCTTCTCACCATATTTGGGAGATTCTCACCTGTGTCCAAGGAGGTGGGTATCTCTTTGTCTCTTTCCCTCTCCCTTTTATTTTAGGAATTGCTAATCAAGAGCATTGTTGGGCATTGCTATCTGTAGGCTGTCTCATGAAAGCAATGCAGACATGTTTGCAAATATGAAATTATTGTTCAAAGCACATGTTCTTCTCTCTCACCCCTCAGAAATCAATTCTAATTTGCCCTGCCCCATAGAGCATCCCTGAATTTTACAGTGTGTGAGAAAAAAAACCTGAAGTGAAAAGACAACTCTATCCCTTCTTGCCTGTATGTTCGGTAGCAATAGATGTTTCATTCTCTGTAAAGTATCAGACAGTAAATACCCTCAGCATTGTCTCTGTCAACACACCTACTCAACTGTGCTGTTGTAGAGGGAAGCAGTCGCAGGCAGTATCTCAACAAAAGGTCCTGGTCATGTGCCAATAAAATTTTATTTACTGAAGCAGATGATGGGCCGTACTTTGCCACCCCGTGAACTATAGCAAGGAAACCTGCAAGCCTCAGTTTCTTCTTCTGTAACATGAGGTAACTGAATATACGAGCATGACCTTTCTGCCTTATAGGGTTCTTGTAAAGAGAATATTAAATTATACATGTGAAATCACTTTTGCACTATTAGGCCCTGTGCCATGGTATTTATAATAATTATAGATAGCAACATCTTATTCATTCTTCCAGAAAAGTATTTTTTATTCACTTGTTTTTTTGAATGAAATATACCTTAAGAAAATGGAACCCTTCATTGAAGTTCTATCACAAACATATCCCCAGCATCTACCACACGTCCAGACACACACTGGATGCTCAGGGATCACTTACTGAATGAATAAACTGGCCCTTTCAGTGGATATTAACTCATCAAGTCCTTTTTTTAAGTTTTCCACCTATATTACATAATAGCAGTTACTTGAATTCATAAGGCATGTTCTCAATAGGTACCCATAACACACCAATGTATAAAGCAAAGTTTAACAAGTACTGCCAGATGAATATTCTAGCCTGTTTAGGTGTAACAGGTAGCCTTATCTCTTTAGAAGTGATTCCACTAATTGTAGTTTTCAATGCTGTAACTTTCAGAGAACAATCACAGTAGATGTCTGCCCCACAATTGGGCATGAGTTTTTTGTTTTGTTTCTGTTTTTCTATTGAGCAGTTGCTTATTTCTATGTCTTAGGACTCAGGCATTGACTTGAATGTGGAACACACTTAGAATATGGCCAAAGATTAGAGAAAAGAATAGTAGGTCTAGCAGTGGGACTGAGAGGTGGTCACTGTACAGCCTGTAACGAGTATGATTTTGAAACTATTTTGCCCTGGAATTTTTATGTACTTGCTCTCCCTTTTCCTTTGAGGATGATGGTGCTATGTGATGAAAACTGACACATGTACAGGAAAACGTTAGACCAGCAGCTATTTTTCTTAAGGACAATTTTGGAGTCACAGAAGCTCATAGAAGTAGCTATCAGCATGTAGAATGCTGCCCATGAAGCAAAAAGATGGGAATGACTCACAGCCATATGTTGTGAACAGCCAGAGAATTCATGGACAGAAGTGTTTACTATGTAAGATTTTAAACTATCAGTAGAGCACAAGATATAAAATGTTTCTACTTTTAATTTGGAGGTTGAAGAATATTTGTTGTTGTGACAGTTGTTTCCAGAAACTTTGCTGGAATCTGCATGCCTGAATGAATGTGTGATTGTCCTGAGTGATACAGCTCATGAGAGCATAAATCAAGAGTAAGAAGTACCACATTTAGCATATCTGAGTAGTGGGGCTATAGCATCAAGGGTTATAGAAGGAGCTGATATCATTGCAAGTTTAATCAAGTAGTTTGATAAGCTGCTGTACATTTTCCCTTGTCATTTATCTAATCAGAATAAGCTAACAAGAGTGAACAAAATTTGGAAAAAGGATTTTCAATTCCCTGAAACAGCAGTCATTAACCCCACAGTAAATTAGAACACTTTCCAATTTAATGAGCCAGATTGCCCTTCTTTTCATTAAGTTGAATAAATCAGAAGAGCTGTTACTTAAAGTTTCATATCTTTAATTTTTCTTGATGAAACCTATATGAATTTTTACATCATTGATGACAGCTTCTGTTGATAATATGAAATAATTTTGGAAGCTGTCTTTCTTTTCCCTTCTGGGTATTATCCTATTCCAGAATTTGATATTTACACCTAAAGCAATCAGGGAAAAAAGCAAGTTCTGGGACAGAATCAGATATTTTCGAGCCTTTTTTTGCAAACCTCCCTTTTAGATAATACAGTTATATAACCAGCTATATTTTATGTGTACATATACATACATATATAAACACACATACACAAACACATATATACATGCATATACACATATACGAATAAGTATGTGTAATACACATATCATAATCTTTATATTCTTTTAAACATAATGACAATATGCAAATTATACAGGTCAGTTTTATTTTAATCCAATCTACTTATACTCTCTCCTCCACCAAAATGCAATTCTCTCAAAAGGAATTTTCAACCCATTTTTATGTTTTATTTATTTACTTTTATTTCCTTTGGAGGAGTTCGTGGCTGGCTAGAGCCTTTGTAAATAATGTAATACTACTCATTTTGTCACCAGCTTTAGAAATAAACACAATTGACCGGGTACAGTGACTCATGCCTGTAATCCCAGCACTTCGGGAGGCCAAGGTGGGCAGATCACGATGTCAGGAGATTGAGACCACCCTGGCTAACATGGTGAAACCCCATCTCTACTAAAAATACAAAAAATTAGCCAGGCGTGGTGGCGGGCACCTGTAGTCCCAGCTACTCGGGAGGCTGAGGCAGGAGAATGGCGTGAACCCGGGAGGCGGAGCTTGCAGTGAGCCAAGATGGCGCCACTGGGCCACAGAGCAAGACTCCGTCTCACACACACACAAAAAAAAAAAAAAAAAAAAGATGAAATAAATAAATAAACACAATTAAGAAGGACATGAAAAAGACACATTGGAAGAAATGAATGCATGGTTTTAAGTGAGTTGAGAACATTTTATTTTGGCCTGTTTTCTCCCTCCTCTTGCCATCTTTATGTTGAATAACAAAGATTTGTTTTATCTGCATTTCATTTTACACATTCAAGCACAACTCAATTTACAAACTTCACTGAAGATTCCTGCATACAGGACTTTCAAGTGTTACCAGACTTTTTGTTTTTTTTGTATATTATCTGAAGGCTATTTTTAATAACAGATAAACTTAGACAATTTGGACGTTATTTCCATGTGTGTTGTGTTTATTGATTGCTATGGCTGATCATGTGAATACATCAGATCATGGCTGCATTGAGACTGTTTGGCCTTGGAATAGACAGCAGAAGGAATATTGTCTGTGTGATTCTTCTGTCACCATTCCTCATCGTGCACTTCTATAGAGCTAGGGGCTGAGGCTGCACACACCTTGAGCACCTCATTGTCCGTCCTCATTGCCCCAAGACTGTTTCATTTTCTTCCTTGGGAGGCTTCTGTCCTCCGCCTTCTCCATCACTCACTCCCCTTTGAGGTGGGCTTGAGAGCACTGAGTGCCTACTGAGGAATGTATGCTTTGATGCAGCACTCCCACTCCTTATGGCTTCAGGACATGCCCCTTGCTTCAAGAGCACAAGAACCACTTTGGAATTAGAAGCATTTCTAGTTGCTGTATTTACTTTTTAAGTTTGCCACAGAAAATGCCAGTTTCCAATTCTTATAATAAAAATGGAACCTCCTCTGGTGGTGGATGTTTTGTTCAGCATCCACGGTAAATTTGACTTTTTAGTTTGATTGAATAATGAGCCCCAATCTAATTACACATGACTTCTTAGGCATGCGCTCTAATCAGTAAGAATTCAAGTCTTACAGACAATAATCTAGTTAAATTCTGTCCAGAGTTGTTCTTATATTGGTAAGTGATATGTGTACCAAGATTTGTTTTACCCCCAAAACAGATCCCCAATGGGATTAGTCCTCAAAAATAGCAATTTAAAAGCACATCCAAAGCACACATATTATTAGAATCTGCTTTTCTTTGTGCGGGATGTGTTGTTGACATGTGCTGACGTGAGATGTTTCTTTCCACAGAAGTGGGTGGACGGAGGCCTCACCAACGCTCTTCCCATCCTGCCCGTCGGCCGGACTGTGACCATCTCCCCCTTCAGTGGACGACTGGACATCTCCCCGCAGGACAAAGGGCAGCTGGATCTGTATGTTAATATCGCCAAGCAGGATATCATGGTGAGTAATTATGTTCAGTAATATATGAAGAGTCCTGATCTACTAAAAATTTCCACAGATTTCAACGTGTTTCCCAAGCACTGGAAGCTCGTTGATAATTGTAGGTAGGGGTTGCATCTTCTCTTTAGTGTATTGTTTAATACTTTACAACATGTATCAGGCATAGGAACTTGGGTTCTTATGGACTGTCAGCATTAAGTCTTTTTGCTGCTTTTATTTTTATTTATTTTTATTTTATTTTTAGCACCCCTCCTACCTTAGCCTGCCATGTAGCTGGGACTATAGATGTGCACCATCTCGTGGGGCTAATTTTTTTTTTTTATCTTTTGTAGAGACAGGGTTTCACTAGGTTGCCCAGGCTGGTCTCAAACTCCCTGACTCAAGTGATTCTTCCATCTTGGCCTCCCAAAGGATTACAGACATGCACCATGCCCGCCCGTTTTTGCTGCTTATTAACTGTCACTTCTTTTTCACATCAATAAACTTGGTAGGATATCAGAGCAATTTTTTTCTTCTTTGAGACAGGATGTTGCTCTGTCCCCTAGGCTGGAGTACAGTGGCAAGATCATGTCTCACTGCAGCCCCGACCACCCAGGCCCAGGTAATCTTGCCGCCTCAGCCTCCCAAGTACTTGGGACTGCAGGCACGTGCCACCACACCCGACTACCTTTTTAAAAAATTATTTGCAGAGACAAAGTCTCACTGTGTTGCCTAGGCTGGTCCCAAATTCCTGGGCTCAAGTGATCCGCCTGCCTTGGCCTCTCAAAGTGCTGGGATTACAGGCCTCAGCCACCACGCCTGGCCCAGAGCAATTTTAAATAAAACCATTTATTTGCTTAGAAAGATGGAAGTAATGAAATATATAAAAATAGTCGAGAAAAACTTAGGGACTCAAATGAATAATTGACATAAAAATACTGATTGCCTTAATCTAGTCTAATAGTTTTTCACGTGGGATGATATCGTACCCAGACATTTTTGGTTATCATGTCCCAGTTGTGCCCCTGGCATCTGGTGGGTAGAGGCCAGGAATGGTGTTAAACGTCCTACAGTGCACATGACCATCACACAATTAAGACGTCGCGGCCCCAAATGTCAGCAGTACCAAGGCTGAGAAACCCTCCTTTACTGTATTAGTGGAGGTAACTTCTGAAATTTAAATTTTTCCTACTGATTTTTTTGTTACTGCTAATTGTATCTGTGATAAGAAAACCTAGATTATAAAAATAGTGTATATTTTCCTGTACTGCAATATCCTATAGCTTAAATTTCAGTCTTTTTATTCTAGTTGTCCCTGGCAAACCTGGTGAGACTCAACCAAGCCCTTTTTCCCCCAAGCAAGAGGAAAATGGAATCTCTGTATCAGTGTGGTTTTGATGACACTATTAAGTTTTTACTTAAAGAAAATTGGTTTGAATAAAATGCTTAAAAGCTTATAATGCAAAACATGTTTCAGACAGTTTTTGATGGAAGTTTCTAATCAAATCCTTTTTAGAAAATCTATCAAGACTCTCAATTGTATTATTACTCCTTGTAATATTTGTGTTTATTTTTAATATTTGAATTATTACCTAGTGCAAGGATGTAAGAGGCACTTTATTAGAATTTGACAATGTCATTAAGAAGGATACACTTAGGTGATAAGGAATCATTTTTGGTGAATTGTCATGTCCTTTAAAAAATGGAGGAGGATAGGCTCTTTGGGTAAATTGAGGAACATGGAAAATGGATGGCCACCACTTAGGTGCCATGGAGAATGTGTGGCATGATCTTGACATGAAGCATGGGTGTTTCCATGACTTAGCTGTATCCCTGTAGCTCTGGAACTGAAGGAACTAGGCTCTCAGGCTGACCCAGGCCACAGGGTAGGAGAGGAAGGATTTGAGAAATAGGTGACTCATGGTTAAAGACCTTTGATCAGGACTGGAGGAACAAAGGTTTGTGTATTAGTCCATTTTCACACTGCTGAGAAAGACATACCGGAGACTGGGCAATTTACAAAAGAAAGAGGTTTAATGGACTCACAGTTCCACATAACTGGGGAGGCCTCACAATCATGGTGAAAGGTGAAAGGCATGTCTCACATGACAGCAGACAAGAGAAGAAAACTTGTGCAGGGAAACTCCCCTTTATAAAACCACCAGATCTCTTGAGACTTATTCACTATCATGAAAATAACATGGGAAAGACCTGCCTCCATGATTTAATTACCTCCCACTGGGTCCCCCCCACAACATGTGGGAATTGTGGGAGCTACACTTCAACATGAGATTTGGGTGGGGACACAGCCAAACCATAGCAGTTTGCTTTCCACAGGTGTGTGCAGTTGCTCCCAGTGCAGTTAAGGGCAGATATCCAGAAACCTAGGAGATTTTGAAGAGGCTTATCCCCTCTCATCTTCCTCCCCTAAAACACCGCCCCCCCCCCCCAGTTTAGGAGATTATCAGGCTGGTTGTCATTCATTCTCTCTCTCTCTCTCCAAGGCCATACCTCTCTGAGTATTTAGCTATTGTTCTATATATTGGATATATCTATTGTGGGAACTTAAATAGATAAAATACTACTAAACACAAAGAACCAGGTAGCCTAGTAAATAAGAATTAAATCCAGAATAATCATTCACTTCTCATTTTTAAATCATATACTGATCCCAGGTCTTTTACTTTCTGAGTAGTTCTCCATCACTTTGAGGACTTGTGTATGGGCTTGTACTAATTTACTCACACTGTCTTTTTTTTTTTTTTTTTTTTAATTTTTTTATTATTATTATACTTTAAGTTGTAGGGTACATGTGCATAACGTGCAGGTTTGTTACATATGTATACTTGTGCCATGTTGCTGTGCTGCACCCATCAACTCGTCATTTACATCAGGTATAACTCCCAATGCAATCCCTCCCCCCTCCCCCCTCCCCATGATAGGCCCCGGTGTGTGATGTTCCCCTTCCTGAGTCCAAGTGATCTCATTGTTCAGTTCCCACCTATGAGTGAGAACATGCGGTGTTTGGTTTTCTGTTCTTGTGATAGATTGCTAAGAATGATGGTTTCCAGCTGCATCCATGTCCCTACAAAGGACACAAACTCATCCTTTTTTATGGCTGCATAGTATTCCATGGTGTATATGTGCCACATTTTCTTAATCCAATCTGTCACTGATGGACATTTGGGTTGATTCCAAGTCTTTGCTATTGTGAATAGTGCTGCAATAAACATACGTACTCACACTGTCTTAAATCCTAAATCTGTTTTTATGAGATTTTGCCAAGTATGAACCCTTGATTACTACGAGGCAGTTAGAGACAAACCAATTTAATTCCATGTCTTCAATTGTCATGCATTTTTCCTTTTACCCTTTGAAACTATTTTTGAGTCAATTTTATGGTTCTCAGAAGGCAAAATACACAATTTTTTAGCACATAAACACCAAAGATGGCCTCTTTTTGAGGAGTTCTGCACAGACCCACTCTAGAATAATGATGGTCCCTGTAGTATGTAGTTTCTCCTACTCTAGCTAACATGAGGTTTAATCTTAATGTGTTGTTTCCATAAGTGACATGAAGTGGATAGATTCTCAATTGTTATGTCCACTTATTCACTAGGTAAATTTTCAGTTTTAATACTTTTATCCTTACCCCTTCCTTTGATCATTTTGTGTGAATATTCTGTTTGTATGATACACTGTATTTCAATAAATTCCTTATTGATATACCCTTAACTTGAAGAAATTTAAGCTGCAAAACCAAATCTCATTGTATAAGACTTTTTTGAAGTATCTGGTATTGACTATATATGTATTTGACCCTGTGGGTGGATGGTACTTTTCTTTTTAACTTTTATTTTAAGTTCAGGGGTATGTGTGCAGGTTTGTTATAGGTAAACTTCTGTCATGGTGATTTGTTGTAAAGATTAATTTATCACCCAGGTGATGGTACTTTAAAAATATTGTAAGATCATTGACATATCAGTCTGCAGCAACTTTCCTGCATGAGAGAAATACAGCGGTGTAATGAAACGCATACTTGGTACACACTAGGCACTCTCTGGGGCTGGTGCGCCAATTCTCCTGTGAGCATGCTCCCAAGCACACTCTGCTTATCTTTGCTGGAGTGTGTGCTCATGCAGCCATACTCATTGAAAACAGGCATTCACAACAGGATCTGCCTTACTTGTGGGATCAAAATTTTGAGGCATTGTAGAACTGGCATGTAGAAAATCTGAAAGGACTTTCTGACCCAGATACTGATATGTTTGCAGGATAATTACTGTGATTGGCGGCTTGATACATTCCCAATTCTCTGTGGGGGCAATTTTCTTATATCTTGAAATCTGTCATTAAAAATGTCATTAGTCTTCCTTTTCTTCTTTTCAATAACACGCTTTACTTTGTAACTATGGTAACCAACTCCTTCCATTGACAATTAGAGAAAATAGATTTGGTTTTGAAGTTAAACAGTGCTCTAAAGGAACAAGCCATATATTAAAAAAGGAAAGAAAAAAACCTGTTAATTCTGGGTTCTCAGTATCAGGTGCAGGGTGTGTATACCAGAAGCTTGCAAAGATACAGTCACACCACTCTGGGCATTGAATTTTGATTCTAAACAAGCATGAGCACTCAAAACACGTAGATATTAGTGATTATGCTTTTAATTTTTTTGAGGATTAAAAAAGAGAAATACAATTACATAAAAACATGTTTATAAATATTAGTTGTAAAAAGTTTTTGGATCCAGTCTATTACTTTTACAATTGAGGAGCCTAACTATGGAAGATCAGTGTTTTGGGATTTTTCTTGCCTAAATTTTGTCTACACGATAGCAAAATAAAATCAGAAGTTGAAGTAATTATCTAAATAACTCAAAGTAGGAAGGAAGGCAATTATTGCAGTTCATGAAAAGTGTACAGATTTTTAGACAGTTATCATGATTCTGATTTGCAAATTGACAGTTTCCTTGGGCAGAATTCACCATTTATTTGCTTAGTTCTGCACTTCAATTTTTCTCT